CGGCTCTAGGATATACCTCTAGCCGCGCGGCCCCTAGTCTGGGTATGCTGCCAACTCCTCGACTTACCCCTCAGAGCAGTGGACTCTGCACTCCTGCAGCGAGTGCCGCTTCCCACATGCTTAATAAGTCTTCCGCGATGGGCTTGGCCATGGCTCAAGCCAGCAATGTGAACACATCTCAGTACCTAGATCGTCTCCCTGCCACCATGACATCGTCCCCTCAAGCCTACTGCCCTACTCGTCGATCTTCCCTTGCCACTTCAGTGTCAACAGCTTCCTCACCCGAATCGATGATTTCGGATTCGTCGCGCTCCTCGCGCTCTTCTTCCATCTCATCTTCTTCATCGCTTGTTAGCGCGACCCTCAGCTCTTCCAGGCTGGGTTTGCCGTCGCGATTCCGAGCGTCGAAGCCATGTAACGAGAGATTGAGCCAGAAGCCGACAATCCCTTCGGTTCCAGAGGATTATGATGTGCACTGCGGTTCATCCTCCCCCGAGTCTTACAACGGCCCGGTTGGCAAGCTCGTGGATCTGTCTCTGGAATCTTCCTTGGCGAGACGACAGCAGGAACTTGATGATATGGCTCGCGATTCTGACGCCGCTCGTGCTCTACAGGAGCTTCATAATTATCGCGCAGCTGAGACTGTGACCGCAACAGTCCCTAGAAGTGGCACGAAGCGAACTAGAACCGCCTCTATGGACAACTGCCTTCAGGAGAACGTTCGCGAAATCCTTGGTGGTCGTTATTCTACCCAGCATTCTGTCTGGCCTGATACGTTGGTTCGCACTCGAGGCACTACCTCCGAGTCGAATCTCCAGATCCCCGTCCGTCCTAGCTTGCCTGGCACCGGCAAGCGAGTCTGCTGCTCTGCCGAAGCGGCTCAGGGCTACGAAGTTTCGTCTGTCCATCCTGCTATTGGCCTTCGGGGACCTGGTCTGTTGGAGGGTATTCTCAACTAAACACCAATCACACGTTGGTGACGATATTCACTGTTTCCAACTTGATACCCTGTCGACTATAGATAAGCTATGCACGACTTGAAACTCAAGAAATAATGTCGAATCAAAAAATTCTCTTTGTTAAATATACTGATATGGCGGGTGGAAGAAATGGAGTCTTTTGCTAAAAGGCCTTTATACCACATATTTGAGAGATCATAGTTCTGCTGTATAAGCACCTGCTATTCTCTCGACTTTGGGCCAAAAAGCGTGTTCATTTGCCTGCATGTCTGGAATGGGCTACGGAGAAAAAGTGGTGGCGACTGTCTGTTTACAAGGGGCCGTTAGGTGGTGAAGAGTACATGTCTTGTATGACTAGGACGACGCTGCTTTTCTTTGTTTTGTACTGGTTACTTATTTGGCTTTACTTCGTTTGCTGCCATGGTCTCGGAAGTGGACTTGACGGCACTGAAAAAAGTATCGCACGGCAAAGAGGAGAGGCGAGAAGTTTAAGGAAGGTAATAGGTTTGATTTGCTATCAAAACCGAGCAGACAAACCCGGTCACCCAAGAATAACGACCCCGGCGTCAAAGAAGGAATCTGCAAGGTAATCGGTTTTGCATCAACTGGAGTTCAATTTGCCTTTTCCCTGCAATCAAACACATCCCAAGACCATATACTGTCTTCGGAAACAGCCAAAGCTTGAATCCACTCGGCCTCGTCAAAGGCAGACTTTGGGAACTCAGAAGGCAAACAAAGCAATCGATTTCGGAAGCGGACTCGAGCAAAGGAGTCCCAAGAATGATCTGAATTGAGGAGAGCGATGACGCTATGGCGAAATCTAATAGCTAGCTTGAAACAGTCCTCGCGATAGTGGACTCGTGGCAGTCATTTCCATTCCCTTATGGAACCAATTTTCGGATAGGAGAAGGACGCACGAGCAAAGCAAGACAAGCACGAAATCAAAAGCATTATGCTGGAACACTAAATTGCCTCCGCTTTTCACGCAACTGAAGCGAACCACTCACCATTTGTGACTACGTGATGCGCCAGAATCGAATTTATTAGACCAACATCTGCATGCCGATCCGGACTATTGAAGCCTGAGGAAGCTCGGAGAATGAGATTCGAGAACCAGAAGAGGTAAGGCATGATTCTTACCATAAAACTATACATTGAGAATGTGTTTAATTCATTCAAGGTTGTCTGATCTGGTGCATGATCATATTGCAGTCGCTCCTACGCAATGCACCCATGAGAATCTCTTCACCCGGAACTTCCAGGAACGCCTTCAACCGCGGCCGTGAAATCCCGGAATCGCGTGGTCCATTGGACATGCCGACATGGTGTGCTAACGGCGTGAGTCATATCCCAACTCGCTTGGCACACACTTGACAGTATGTTACCTTGTCTATCCCTGTCTTTGACCTCTTTTCCTCAAGTGCGGTGTAAGTGGTATCATCAGCAAGTCTCGTGTGTGTGCATGAGTGTGTGTGTGTTTATTACGCACAGGGCTGGGTTTTGGTTGTTATCGCTCCGGAACATCGTGAAGTTTAGTACTACGAACAAGATAGGTCGTTAGCTAAGGTGGAGATGAAAGAAGTCTTTCATAGGCAAAGCGACATTGGAGGTAAGTTTGCTATGAAGTAAGTTCTGTTGAGTTTAAGGTGTTTCTGTACGTGATATTCTGCCCGTGTTGTTACCTTAAACTTCATTTCTTATTACGGCGTTGAGGCTTTTCACGACATCTGGTCCTTTCGTTCAAGACTCGAATCCTATGAAGCATGGTGACATTCTATCGCAAGGTGTATCCCGACTAATCTAGGGAGGGTCTACTAAATACACAGACATACTTCTATTCATGGTGAACTCGATTCTTTATTTTGAGGCCCCGCAATCGCCGGGCCTGACAAGCCTCAGGGGCTTCGGGGTTTTGTGCTGATGGTAAGATGCACGATGAGCCATTATGAGTTCACACGAATCCTGTTGAACCCTAGTGCGACAACATTCACTGCCCCGACTCTGATGTTGGCTGAAGCCCACTAGTTTATGATATATGCCGGCGAGCTGAATGTGGTAGCTCCAAGTGACAGTTCTTACCCAATTCTTGCGGGTGCAGATTTGGACATGAGGGGAACGGAACAACCGGGAGGCAGTGCTGTCTCTTTGGCCAAGAGAGAAGACTACCAGCCGTTATTTGGGGGAGCTTGAAGTGCCAAAGCCATCATGGAACACCCCTATTGTTCCATAGACCTGTCGGAGTATCTCTTTCGAGATTACACTATCAGCACCCCATTTCAGTCGTTGATCAATGCGTCTTCTTTGCTCTCTGGCAACATCTCTCGGTAGACCATGACACAGTGCAGTGAGATCGATCAAATTTGTAATGAAGACATTAGGCTCCGATGCGTCGATAAATGCGTTACGAAGACAGTCCAGCTGAATCTCCCACGATCTATCATGCTCCTCTAGGCCATAGACTAACCCCGCCCTGCGAAGCCAGAACAGGAGGCGTAGGTTCTTCTTGTCCCATGGACCGGTGATGAGGGATGTAGGAACGCGTACCTTTGGATGAATATCGCAGCCACCCCAGGATCCAACCCTTTCGAAAGGTTTCCAGGACAGAACCTCCTGATAATCAGCTTCAAAGCAGTCCTGTGAGTTGAAGTGCCCTACGCCACCTTCGAAATGATGGCTGTGACCATAAATAAAGGGGTCACCATCATCATCCAACCGAGGAAGATAATGACGATAATGCTGGTCTCTGGCGTATTTTTCTACCCAGGTCTGCTGTGCCTGGAGAATGAATTCTGCAGTGATCCAAGGGAGGCACAATATGGTTGACTAAACCAATAATATTAGATTGTCATAGATGCCATGAAGTATGATGGTGTTGACAAACCTGGAGTTGCCAATTGCCAGATACACGATTCTTGTCTGTTGCCGCAAATTTGTCAGGGTCACCGAACGATTGTTCCCAAGTATCTTGGAAAGCCCATATGATGAACCTGATGAGAGTAGCCCGTCCAGAAAGCTTTGAGCCTATGATCGGTGCGGACCGGGGGAGGGCAACATTGGCGCTGTAAAGGAAGATACTCTCCAAGATTTCGGCTGGAAGAGCTTGAATAACCGGCCTCCAACGCGTAGATCGAGAGGCGAGGACATTTGATAGTGAGCGCTTCATTCTCTTGGGGGGATTGGCTTTGTCGTCAGGTATAGATGCGATAGTTTGGCCAGGCGATGGTTTGCCTCTCAATGGAAATTTTCGCTTGCTTCGAATACGTATAGGCGTAAGGCCCATGGTGCGAAATTATACAGGATGAGAGTGTTGATGAGATAGACGAGGCTCAATGGCTTGAATTACTTGAGGCCGGTATGAGCTTTGGAGAATCGCGTATGGCTCAAGTTGACAACCCAAATACATTTCCTCTCGACAAAACGAAATATTGGCCGTTGACCATTGAGGTGCTGGTCCGGAAAGAGTCGACCTATACCTAGAAAAGTTGTTTGGAGGAACATTTTGCAGGAGAAAAATTGCCATATTTCGCAGATTCATTCAACAGTTCGGCGGGCGGCAAAGCGAGGCGGAGGCGTGAATTCATAACGCTAACAAGAATTAAATTTGTTGAACTATCTGACTAATACAGGAGGTAGTCAATTCATCACATCTACGTAGGTAGGTAGGGCAAAATATCTACAATCTGTGACTGTTTAAAGAACAATTCATGCATGTCTCGACATGTCTGACTGATCCCAAGTCTACCAAGTACTTTAGTAAAAGTGAAGGTGGCCTGTGCACCACCACCTGAGACCCGCCAGAACCAGTGGCTTGGACCCAATGACTAAGGCGTCTTTTCGACATCGACTTTTCTTGATATCATCGATAAGAACCTGTCTTCGAAAAGAGATGCCGCATCATATCCAATACCAATGCCGACGTGATACCGACTCTCAGTGATGCAGTCAACCCTGTGCCTTCCGGTTCCATCACGAAACCTCCTGCGATTCCTTCGGTGTCAGTCCAAGAGGGCTTTCTCGAACGCAAACCATGGCCGAACCTCGATGACCACACCAGTTCCATGTTGTCGCGCACGAACACTGGATACTCTTACGACGCGGAAACAATTCACAACTTTGGGGACAGCATGCCAGAGAACAGTCACCGTTACCAAACCAACAATCTTCCAAAGAGATCCCAACTCACGGAAACTTCAAGATTGTCATCAGCCCTGGACATCCCAACGCTGCTTCAGCACCAGTCAAGGTGCGCGCAAGTTGTTCAAGGGCCAAGACCCGAGCCCAGAGAGCCCGCCAACATGGGAACGATTCCTCAAACTCGCAGGAAGGAAGGATAATAAAGTTTTAAAGCCAGACGATCTCCCAAACCATGACGAATATTCTGATGGCTCGTCAATCTTTAACAACCGGCGAACACTCGCGGCCAAAGCTGCATCTGAGCCTCGACTGCGATGCACGGAAGTCGACGAGCATGGGAACGTAATTCTGGTTGATGGAGAGTTCAAGAAGACTGAGCTTATTGCAAAGGTACGGATGTCTCGGCCGCAAGGAAAGCCTCAAGAATATAACAACTAACAATGGATGTTTTCAAGTTCGGCTTGTTGCCTCGAGACTTGCGCAAGATTGACTCATCAAACTTACCTCATATCCTTGTTCGCCCTTCGGCCATTTTGCTAAACCTACTCCATCTCAAGGTTCTGATCAAACATGACCGAGTGCTTCTATTCGATATTTACGGCTCAAAGACATCGTACCCCCAGTCGGCCTTCATGTACGACTTACAGGGAAAACTACAACAGAAGAACACACAAGCATCAGGTGCTCTACCATATGAGTTCCGGGCATTGGAAGCGGTGCTGACCTCAGTGACGTCTGAACTCGAAGCCGATTTCGAGGCTGTGCGGGAGCCGGTCATGCATATTCTTAGCGAGCTGGAGGATGATATTGATCGAAGCAAGCTCAGAATGCTCCTCATTCTATCCAAGCGAGTGAGCACCTTTGAGCAAAAAGCAAAGTTGGTCCGGGATGCCATCGAAGACCTCCTCGAAGCCGACGATGATCTCTCTGCCATGTACTTGACGGAGAAAACACATGATCTTTACAGGGGAGAGGACGATCACACGGAGGTTGAGATGCTTTTGGAGTCTTATCACAAGCTGACTGACGAAATCGTGCAAGAAGCCGGCAACCTTGTCTCGGGCATCCGAAACACAGAGGAAATGTAAGGAACCCTTACCCTTGACTTAATGCTGATCATATTACTCACTCACAAATGTAGCGTTCGTGCAATTCTGGACGCCAATCGGAACGCTCTCATGCTGCTTGATCTCAAATTCAGCGTCGGGACGCTAGGCCTAGCCATGGGAACGTTCCTTGCTGGTCTCTACGGCATGAACTTGGAGAACTTCATCGAGGAGACAAACTGGGGTTTCGCTGGCGTCACTGGCGTCTCAGTCGTCTTCTCTCTTATCGTATGCTGGTACGGTCTAACGAAGCTGCGGCGCGTGCAGCGCATCAAGATGATGGATGACGAGCGACCGCGGATCCCCCGCGGGCAGGCCTATTTTCCCGATGATCGCTCGGCGCTGGGGCTCCTTGATAACAGGAACCGCGAAATGTTGCGGCGAATCAACATGCAGAAGGCCGTATCGCAAAAGAAGAAGTGGTTTGCATGATTTTGGAAATTAGATTCCCTTTCCCTGGCTCAGTGGCACGGATTCGGCCACGTGTATAAACTAGATATTTCTGGAAACTACTAGATACCTACTCATCTCAATGAGGCTGGAGTTGAAGCGAAAGATACCCAAATGCGGACAGCACACACACATCCTGACAGGCATCACCCTCCGTGAAAACGCTGCAATCTCGGATCTTAATGGCACATCGTAAATATGACGACCAATGAGTCCACCAGCACAATGCCAAGAAAGTCCAGATTCTCCCATTTTGTCACTCTTAGGGTCTCGATCGTCCTGGTGATGCCACTATCCTATCGATTGATCTCATCATGACAGTGTGACGTCAGAAAAGATTCCTCTTTAGCCCTCCATGAGACCTCGTTTAATCAAAGCCTGGTCCTGGTCAATGGCGGCTGGCTGGCCGAATTGAAATTAAGGTGGTGTTGCGTTACAACACACAATCTGCAGGTGGATAGGGGAGGGGAGGGAAGGGAAAATCATCCGAGTCATTTTGCAGGGAATCGTCTCGAACAATTGATTGCCCTGACGTCGAACGTAACCCCAAACAAACCCGCAACGGGCTACAGCGGCAATAAGGCATGACAGGCCTTGATTTCTTGGAGGAGTAGCCACATTAGGAACGTCATCATGATGTTGCAGCCAATCAATGGTGGCCTGTCATTTAGCCACAGCCGTTAGTGTGGCTGGTGGCTGGGTCATGAGGGAATCGGAGATCGCAAACTGACGTCAGGAAATAAACATGACGGAGGAAGGTGTGATCCAAGAAAAAGAAAAAGAAAAAAAAAGAAAAGCAGCAGGCGCGATGGCCAGCCCAACAAATTTCAGATATATAAAGATGTGACCTCGAAGAAACTTTAATCTTTCACAACACCAACCTCAGACCTACAACAAAATCTCAGCCTTGTCTAAGAGCTCATCAATCACAACCATCTGAATACAAACACAAAGCAACTACATCACCTACTACAACACCTTTCAAACATTCACAATGGGCGGTGTTATGTCTTGCGTAAGTCGCGCCCCCTTGAACCTCTCCAGGAAGAACACATGATGTGGTCTACACATCAATCAACCGATCCACGACAAAGCCCAATTGCCTGTCTCTTTCTCCCACACTCACTCAGTCTCTACCTTCTTCCACTCACTCACTACTTTCGTTGCCCCTCCCCCGGCAGCTCTTTTCTCCTCCACCGCCCCTCTTTCAGCCTCGCTTTCAACGACACCACTAACAAGCCTCTCCAACAGATCCGGTCATGCCTCCAGACCATTGGGGACGTCATTATGGCAATTGTGGGGGGCATCGGTAGAATTTTGACGGCAATCGTAAACGGCGTGGTTTCCTTCATCGGAATTCTGGTCCGATTCTTGACCTGCGGATATTGCGGTTCGAAGGGAGGCCGAGCGAAGCGCCGGGGAGGTTCTCATATGAGGACGACGAGAGTCTAGACGAAAAACCCGGACGAACTTGTTTGTGATACCAATTTGATAAAGAATGGGGGCTGGGGGAGAGTTATGTTAGTTTGCGGAGGAGTCTGTTACGGCCGTTTGAGATATCTTTTCTGACTACTTTGATATTCATCTGTTAGCATTAGGATACCCAATCCTTACGATATGTAGCAAAAACTTCAATCTTGTAACGTTCCGTTAGTATACAGTTTTGATTTCCACTGGTGATTTCCACTTTGATTGCTGTTGGTGATAGGGCCAGGGGGAGGCAAGAAAACTCAAGTCCTTTATCCTGAGTATTGAAAGACTTAGGCAATTTAGTCTAAGTTTAGGGGAGTCTTTACTAAGTTTATTTTAGTAGCCTCTACTAAGTTTATTTTAGTAGCCTCTTCTAAAGTCTTACATTTTCTTGCTCCCTGAGGTGAGGACGACGGCCGGAAACCGAATTAACTTATGTCGTTCCACCCCCTTCTATATCCTGATTCGTTCTGCGGTATCTGTATACCGTTTTAACATCGGCTTGGTATCAATCGTCCTCTTCCATGACGTTGCGGTTGAAAAATCCATGAATCTGTTGTCCAGCCGTTGTGCCGACCAAAGGTGCCAGTTCTTGGACCGTCATGTTGGCAACTTCACGAATACTCTCAGTCTTGAGTACCAGATTCTTGATATTTTGTGGAGTCACGCCCGGCACGATGGCAAGCATATCCTGGGGCTCCTGGTTAAAGGCCTGCTCCTCGGCCCTTGTATCTTTATCCAAGCCAGCCCTGACAGCGGCTATCGGATCTGGCTCTTCCTCCTGAGTCTTTAGGGATTCAAAGATCTCGGCCGTCTGGTACGGGGACGAAGACCAGATGATGCGTAACTTTGGAAACGCTAAAGTCAGTAATACTAACTTGGATTGGAGGTCGGATGACATGTTGGTCGGAGCGACACTGTTCAGGCTTCCAGATAAATCGGCAAATGGCTCCAGAGTGAAGGACTTGTTCTGGTCAAACTCGATGAGCAGCATCACGCTTTTATAGTACTGAAACATAGTCTCGGCTTGGCTGTAGAGCCGGCCATCCTTGAATGACGAGATCAAATCACTGATAGATTTCCGTTCTACACAGATATTTGGTGAGAGGATGTAATCACCAACTGTGAGCATGCATGGTACAATGACCATAGAGCGGCCGTGGAGAAGAGATGGCAGAGAGGATCGGAATTCTCGTACGTCTACCACAACGCGTGGCGGCTCAGCTGTTGCTGCAAGCCTTCCACCACCAGCAATACGTGTGTTGACGGTGCGAAGAAAAGCATCTTCAGGATCCTCAGCTGGGTCCACAGTCATGACAAGGGACATGCTTGCCCTCTCCTTGATGAGTTTCGTAAATGCATCTTTTTCTCGTCGAACAGATGACAGATATTTTTGCTCCTCCACTGAGCCACCATAGTACATAAAGTATACTCTAACGTTCCTGTCGTTATGCGATGATCGGTACACTTCAACTCGACGGATAAAGGCGGCGTCCGGCTCGTACATAATTATGTATCGTGGTTTGGTTTCTTCAAGGACATGCTCGTCCTGATCTCCATCATATGCGTGGATGACGACTAGGTCTTGCATATCATATAATTTGAAGTATTCCTCCATGTTGTCGAGGGGATCTGCTACAACGTCTTCTTTCTGCTGTGCTTCCTCTTCTGTAATCTGTACCTCTGCCATGAGATCGGCAACTTCTCCCGGTTTCTCAATGTACTGCATGATACTGCCATTCTCAGCACGACCCATGCTTACGCCGGCATTTCCTCCGCCGCGCACCCGTCGTCGCTTGTTTGCAGGGGCCTTTCCACCTCTTGACCCTGCAAAACCTGGACGAGTGTCCGTAGCTCCATTTAGGGCCTTCTGGTTTTCGGAAAAGAGAGTGGCGCTGACCTGAGCAAATTGTCTCTTCCACCTTAAGTAGTTCCTCAACCGTCTTCGCATCATGAACGCTGCAGAGGGCTTGTCTTGATCTTCATCGTCCTCATTTGATCGTTTCTCCGTCTTGGGCTTGACGTGCATGGTTTGTAAGAAGTCTCGCAACTGCCTGCAAGTATCGGTATTTGAGCACATGATCAGGATGGTGCCATTGGAGTCGTCTCGAACTGGAGGCTCAAAGTAAAGATCACGATCAATTTCCTCCAGGACCTCTGCCAAAAGCGCCCATTTGGGTAGCTCTTCGAGAACAGGCCTTAGAGAGTCGATGTTATCTTCCCGGGCCGCATCTTTGGCACTGGCGGAATAAACTCTTCGTCTTGCCGTATCAAAAATAGTCTGAGCAGCATCGAGGAAAAGCCAAGGTGATTGGGTTTGCCGGGTCGATCCTGGAGGCGGGGAGTGAGCGGCATGAATGGTATCCAAATGCTGAAGGAACGAAACAGCATCATATGCCAGAATAGAGTTGAGCATGGCTCTGAGAACAGTCAAGTCATTCACAATCTGCTTCGTCTTCCAGCTCACGCGGTGCCAGTTGGGATCCAACTGTCTTCGAACCACGATGTCAAAGTTCTTGAGAAGAGCACTGTCGAGGTTCCAATCGTCCATTTCCAGGCCACTGTTACCTTTCTTGAGCTCGTGAATACTGACTTCAACGCATTCCATTATGGCGTTTTGAATCTCACGCATCGAGTCTGTCATAGGGACTTCGAGTTCGATAACTTCGGCCTTCTTCTTTCCTTCCAGAGATTGCGCGACCGTGACGTGAAATCGAGGCCAAAGCGAGGCTTTACGCAGAAAGAGGTTCCTCATCATGGTAGCCAAGGGTGAGAAGCCAGTGGTGAAGGGATCGGGGTTGTCAGAAAAGGCCTTCAAAAACCCAATCTTGTTCTTTTGACGGTAAACTCTTAAGATGAAGGCCTCGAGAGATGTTGCGACAACGCGATCGGCATGAAGAACAACAAGCCCTGTAATTGATTCAGGATTCAGCAAACCTGTGAGAAGGTCGACCACTAGAATACGCGACGTGATGCTGAAGATTCCGCCTCCAGAGTACATCTTTTCCCTTGCGCCGACGCTTTGAAAGTCTGTGTTCACGACTGTCAGGCCACGCGCTTTCGGGGAAATGCTGATGGCTGCATGTTCGGCCAATGCTTCTCCAATCCAGCCATTTTCTCGTTCATCAGCGGCGACAATGACAATTAAATTGTTTCCGCCAGCGTCATACGAATGGAGGAGGTTATTGACAAGGCGCATCAGCCCCAGGCCGCGTGCGATAACGACAAGCTCATCTTCAACACGAAGCTCCTGGAACAGAGTCTGTTGGTATTCCTAAATCGATGAGCGAGGGATCATACTTGAAAGTCATGGACAAACCTACGAGTGGGAGTGAAAGCTTCACTGGCTGGGGAGCATTGCTTGCAGACATGCGGGCCACCCAAATGTTGGTGTGTTGACAGACGATGTGTTGAAGGGATTGATGAAACGACAACCTACTATAGTCGTGAATGATGTATTGGAGATCTTAGCGGGGAGCTAGAGCCATGGCGGGGAATGTGTAAGTTGCATGCATAAGACAGAGCGGCCATGATGGAAATGAATGTCGATTGGTGACTATGGCATCCATAGATTAGTGGTTTTCGAGACAGAATGAAAAGCATTTTCTGTGGATTACTTTTAAAAGGTTTATTAATATGTTATCTTTTTTATTTTTTATTTTTTATAGGATAATCAATATGTTGTGCTGATCATGTTTGCCGGCCCTCACACCAGCAACAGTGTCACCTCCCCGCCATTCGAGATTACCTGCGCCAGCTTAGCACATGGGCCTGGTTTCTGATTAGATGCTATCTGTTCTATATTCATCTGAGAGCTCGTGTCGCATATGGGGACTGACATGCTGGTAAAACTACTGCAAAACACCTTAGAATACCAGGGCCATGGCCAAGTCCCTAGTCTATTCGTTGGCCACGCTATTTCACAAGTCATGATAAGATGAATACAGCTAATCCTTTTGCATTTTTGGAACTCTCCAGACATCACAATGGGGTACGTGTTCTGTCAGCGCAGCAGATTGAACAGCACCTCGGATTTCTGCATTCCCTCTTTTTCTCATTCCTGAGACTAAGCTGGCCAAGTTGTGATACCTACCTACTAAGCTATTCGTCCTTGATTTTTTATAGCGATATCCACTTACACACTACATTGTGCACACCATGACCACCATCTCCACGTCATTGTTGGAGATCCTGCAGTGTCCTAGATAGCACCTAGCTATGCAGTGATCTCAACAGTCGGCGGTTTTTGGGAACACGGGACCAATGAGAAGCTGTATACATCCTCTTGTGACACTTCCCTAAAGGGTTTGCGTTTCTGATTGTCGCAACATGCGCCACAGAATGGTCTTACGTAGTACGTAGTCTGGCTACTAAGACAAGACGACGTCATCGCCTCATGATATGGGCGGGCCAGCGACTACAAAAGGATGTTGACGACCTACCTTAGGTTTGAGCAGCCACAAGATCTCAAATCAATCCAACAAAGAAACTAGATTACGAAAATAACCTTGAACTTTCTTATACCAACCACCGAAACAACCATCAGAATGACTGGCACTGAGCAACAGAAGGAGGTGAGTTTGACTGCCCTGTACTGGAGCTTTGGTTCTTGAGCCCAACACTGACCGTTTTCCTAACAGGGCGAGAAGCAATTCTCCATTCAACCCATCAAGGATGAGGCCAAGGACAAGGTCTCTGCTTTTAACGCTCACCCCGGACCCGCCGTACCCAAAGACATGCCCCAAGAAGAGGGCACCAAGGAGGAGCGCAAGGCCAAGATGGAGGCCCTGAACAAGAAATAAGCGGTCGACTTCTGTGGTAGAAGTCGCTTCATTGACATGACTGTATGACTATACGTGGATTTGGGACTGGGCTAGGTACTTTACGATCTATTTATACAACACTCAAGACATTTTGTCATGACTTGCATTGGAACATGTCGATTGCTAATCGTAGTCTCATGCTGGTACCATGGCACTGACCAACGGCAGCCTCGGAACCCCCTGTTGACACGCAGCCATCCAATATCTGCCCCTCATCTAGATTTGGAGCCGAGACAAGACTCGTACGGCCAGACACTGGGGTTTATGAAGACTCGAAGTACGGAGTAGTATTAGAGTACATGCAGATATTTACATACACCCAGAATCATGTGAGAATTTTGTTCTCGTTGCCTCCCAAGATGTTCCGTTCTTAGTCGATAGCTAGCACATCATCTTTGTAACACACCCGACTCAACAGCCTAGATGCCCCTAAAAACCCCACTACCTTAGGCGACAGCAGCTATCTCCCCAGGTAAGATACTAAGATAGGCTGCTAAACTCTGGCTGCCCAACAGTCGACTGGTGCCATGCGAATTTTCTAGAACCTGGCAAAGTGGCTGAAGCGGTGAACCGTACCTGATGGATTGTGAGTTGACCGCTTGCGTTGCATGTCACAGTCACAATCACCGCCATACTGGTAAAACCATCATTACATTCCTGGCATACTACCTTGAGCTTCCAATTCCCTCCCGCCCACCAAAAAGCAAACTTGTCGTCCCGCCCGCTGCACAAAGACGTGGGCGTAGGTTGCCCCGCCCCAAGAACTACCTTACTTAAAGTGGCTGTGGTACAGTACTACAGAGGTAGGTAAGCAGGTAGGTGTGCTACTGCAAGGGTTCTAGCCTGTGGCTGGTGCTCACTTCTCTCGTTGCGGACTGGACTCTGGCTCTTCACACATCATCCCAACCGACCGCTGGCCTAGTCTGGTTCATGTTCCTGTTCCCGTTCCCTACGGACGACGAACACCTTTTGACGTGCGACACTTATTCGTGCTTGCCTGCGCTATCCGAGAGAGATCTCTTTCTACTCAAGCCCGAAAGCCCGGGCGCTGCTCGCACACTCTCTAAACCATATATATCTATCCGGCGACAAGAGCTTGCACCTCCCATCCCCCAAGATTTCGGTTGTCTCACACGAGCGCCAAGCGATTCTGACGAGACGCTGGAAGAGGAGAGACCAGACAAGCGCCACTCCGCGCGTCCAGTCCAGGCGACAACCGATAAACTCATCTTATCTTTGGCTCATATCCTTAATCATTGTTTCTCTGGCATATTCGATTACATGACACTGCTACAGTAATCAATACTCGATTGCGCCGCCACAATGCCATCTATTCTCAACGACGATGATAAGGATACCGTGAAGCGGTTCATCCCCAAGCAGTCCAACAAGATTCAGGCCGTTGCTGTTGCCAGACTCTACGTAGCATATCCCAATCGCTCAAAATGGACATACACCGGACTACAGGGAGCCGTTGCGCTCGTCAACGATCTGGTTGGAAATACATACTGGATCAAGATGGTGGATATTTCGGTATGTCCACGATCCATTATCTACATCGCTTCCACCACATCTAACCACCGCATGCTAACAACTTGTTCAGCCCTCCAATCGAGGAGTTATCTGGGACCAGGAGATTTTCGATACGTGGAACTACAACCAAGACCGAACCTTTTTTCATACCTTCGAACTTGAAGAATGCCTGGCTGGTCTGAGCTTTGTCGACGAAAAGGAGGCCAAACAGTTCAAGAAGAAGATGGATGAGCGAGAGAAGAATGCAAGCCGAGCTACAAAGTCGACACCCTTCGGTGGAGGTGCCCAGCCAGCCCATAAGCATGGCCTGTTGGGAGGGCTATTCGGACATCGCCATTCGACTCATATCAGCTCTCAGCACACAGCTCCGACCCCTCCGGAGTCTCCCCGGATGCCACATAACTCCATCCAGCATCATGTTGTCAACTCAACGCCCAATCTCAATGGCTCAAGACCTTCTGAATTCGCACTTTTAGATGCGTTTGATCCTCTGTGGCGCGAGCACTTTGGTGCAGATCTTCAAGACAAGGGTTTGACGGACGACTTCATCAAAGAAAACCAAGAGTTTATTGTCGACTTCTTGAGAGAAGAACAACAGAAGGCCAATCAGCCTCATTCGACACCGCCACCACCCCTTCCTCCAGCAGCGAAAGCACCCTCTCCAACGCCAACCGCGAACGGCAATGAAGGAAGAGGCTCTCGAGCGCCTCCGCCGCCTCCGCCGCCCGGTGGTCGACCTCAGTCAGATGGTCCTCCAGCTCCCCCGGCCCCGAGAAAAGGCGGCCCCCCACCTCCTCCAGCCCCGAGACGGTCAGGCAAAGCCGAATCTCCGGCAAAGGATGCTGCGCCTGAACGAGCGCCGTCACCTCCTCGACCCAAGTTTGGTGTCCCTCCTCCATTGGCCGACGCTGGCAAATTCGCACGTCAAGATCCTCCAAGGGCTGTTCCAGCAACGCCCACTCCTGGACCTCCCCCTCCTCCGCGACCGGCCAAGACTCCTATAGAAACACAAAAGAACGAGAGTCACAGATTCGGAGTTCCTCCTCCCTTTCCTGGTTCAAGGGTACCCCCACCAACACCTAGCCGTGGGCCTGTTCCTCCTCCACCACCACCTCGACCGGCCGATAACCACCCTGTGCCTGCAGCTCTTCCTCCTCCTCTGCCTCCCAAAGTACCAGCTTCTTCAGCTCCACCACTGCCGCCTCCAAGCTCCCGGCCGGTCCCCCCCCCTCCAGCAGCCAACAATCACCCTCCTCCTCCACCTCCCTTACCGGTGACAAGTGCTCCTCCACCTCCTCCGCTACCCCCAACATCAACAAATGGTGCACCCCCTCCACCTCCTCCGCCACCTCCACCTCCTGGAGGTCTTGGTGCACCGCCGCCTCCTCCGCCCCCTATGCCGCCTGGAACTGGTGCACCTCCACCGCCTCCTCTCCCTCCTGTTGCTGCAGGGGGTGATCCTGGCCGATCAGCCATGCTGGAAGGCATTCAACGTGCTGGCGGAATCAACTCCCTCAAGAAGGTTGATCGCTCACAGATTCGCGACCGCAGTGGTGTTCAAGTTGGCAGTGGCGGCGATTCTGGCGGCGCGAACGCCGCACCTGCAGCAGCTGGTGCCCCTGGAGGCGGCGGTGGCATGGCCGATGCGCTGGCTGCTGCTCTCCAGAAGAGGAAAGAAAAGGTCTCTAAGAGTGGTAAGTTCAATATGCCTTTGTCGGTAAAGATTGATGTACTAACACCAGATGAGATGACGAGAGTGACAACGATGACTGGTGAGCTGAACCATGTCAACACAAAATCCAAGAGAAGGAAGGAAGACCGTGGTAGAGTTAGTCGACAGAAGATTACCGGCTTGTCTTTTATAAAATTTGCACTTATGAGCAACGAAGAGGATTGTGAGGAACCAACCAGTTGCAGACGTATCTTGGTTGCGAATCAGCACCAGCATCTGAGGTCGGGTTTGTATTACCAAATGGTTCTACCGCGTCTGTACCATTTCCAGTTGGCATGACAAAAGTTGGTTATGTTTTATAGACACCCATAGCATTAACGAAATTCTTCAAGATAACAGAATGACTAGCCAATAAATTGGGCTGCCTTTATTGTTCACGACATTAATGCAATGCGAGAATCAAAGAATATTTATGAAACAATAGTAAGCATTTTCTTGTCTTGTCTAACCTGTGCTTTTGAGACGAATGTGATGATCATAAAGCGTTGAGAAAAAAACATGATCGTCCAGTAAAAACTACCCAAACGGAACAAGACAGAAAACTCGATCGTGATACTGAAAGTCCAAAAGAGAACGACATGCCGTGACGTCCCTCCCACCACGGCCGTCTACGACTCCACAGCAACTACTGTCGTGGGACCCGACGCACAGAGCTTTGGGTGCTCGGCTCCGGGTTTGAGAGAGAAGACAATATCAACAACACCAGCGGCGAAATACAATCGTACCACCCGGTAGCGTCGGGGGCTCGGTGGAGAGAGAGAGAAGGGGATTTGGAGGGCTTTGGCGAGTTTAAATGTCGTCAATGTCGACCTCCTTCTTGTTGCCAGCGGCGCCATCGTCAGACTCATCGTCTGAATCAGCGTCGCCGAACTCGAAGTAGGCCTCGCCATCCTCTCCCTGGCCAAAAGAGTCGGTTTCGTTGATCTTGGCGTTCTCAGGAAGCTCGCCGTAAGACTTGAGGGTACGGGCTTCGTCGGCGGTGTACTTGAGAATGACGTCGCCCTTGTTGTCCTGGAAGTCACGGAGAGAGAGGAGGATAATATCACCCTGGTTAATCCAGACCTTCTTTCGCATTTTACCGCGAATCTACGAAGGAGATGTTAGCATGAGTCGCAGAAAGAAGGACATGAGCGTCCTGCTTTTGATGCACCGCGTCTTAGGCAGGCAAACTTGGGGCTACTTACGTTGGCGAGGCGCTTGCTTCCATCGAAGCACAGAGCCTCGAGACGACCGTTACCAAGCATCTTCACAACCTGAGCATACTCTTGGCCATCCTCCTTGAAGGTGAGCTCTCGGCGCTGATCATCGTTCTCCTTGGTACCACGTCTGCGGTTCTTTCCACCCTGTCCAACTGTTAGAGACGGTTCCTTTGTTGCTTGCAGAAGAACTTGGGCGATGATGGTGGGGGCGGGGCAGGCGGTTGGCGGATGGCGCGTGAAAATGCGATCCATGAATGAAAAAGAAAGACAGTTAAGTATAGGAGGGATCTGTGGGACTTACCTTTCCCTTGTTCTTGGGCATGTTGGCGGTTTGTCGGTATGCGTGAAGTGAGGAAGAGATGTGTTGGTGAGAAGAAGAAAGTTGGTGATGATGTTGTGGTGTCGTTGTTGGCTTGGGAAAGAATGTGGATTTTTCCTGGGCTGCGCTGCTGACTGACACAAGAGGCAAAAGCTGGTTGGGCGCTTGTGATTCTGTCCTCCACAGTGACTCAAGCGTGGCGCAGTAAAGATATTTTCAATGCAATACGTTAAACTTCCAGTCTAAAATCTATAAGAAGAATAAGAAACCCAAGATCCTAAAGCGTATTGGTTTAGTCATACGGAGATTTAATTAATTCCTTGTTAAGTTCAGCGGTTATCCTAAGAAGAGAGAACATTGTGCCCAAAGTCAGAAAGAATAATATGACGCAGAATGGTTAGCGGCACAGCCACAATTATGTGGCGTTCGTACCTTAGTTCAGCATATTGGGAAATCGTAAACTCATGAAATCGATTTGCGTATCGTGCTTCATCATCCTTAATTCCAACTTCCCCGGCACACTCCCTCGCAACTAAGGCAACGAATGAACGGCACTGAGGCGCCCACTGCAAGTCTTATCTCCGGAGAAAACATCATATCCCATCTCAACATGATAGTATCCCGTCCAAATCCTCCATCATGACAACGGCCCAAGTCTTGCCAGGAATCAAACTCCTGCGATCGATACCCTCCCCCAACTACCGACTTTACTCATCAGCCACACAAACATTGCGCCAAAATACAAAAGAGCGCCCTCAAAGAACTCCCAACAGACCAGGACAATCGCCGAATCGAGACGGAACGAAAGGACGGCCTAAAACACCCCGGATCTTCATCCCACCAGCAAACGACCATGTATTACCATCTGGAAGACTGCTCACCACACCAGAGGTCTGGTCATTTCTTCAAGAAACAGGCATCGAGTACGACAACTCTAAGGCTACACGTCTGCATCTGGGGCCTGACGAACAAAAAGTGAAAGTACTATTCAACTGCCTTGTTCAATACTCGCCTAGATATATTCTACACCCTTACCATCTGCAACATTTAAGGCCTGGAATAGCACCAATGTTACCCATAATCATGAGCAATTACCGACGCAAGTTGACCGAGGAGCCTCTCTGGACATACACAATATGCAGGGGAGGGGGCAGTACTGTGGTGCGACACCTGATGGCCAAAAGGCTGACAGGCGCATTCTGGAGAGCCTTGAAAGATCTCGGATATTCAACGAATGGTCCGCGAGGAACGCTTATGGTGACGATCCACGATCCTTTGAAAGTCGCCCAAGCCCCAGCTCATATTTTTGGCGAGGCTGTTGCGAAGCAAGTGAAGCAGACCTGGGAAGAACACATGCTTCAAAAGAGACATGGATAGCTGGGCATACTTGAGAGCCAAGACTGGATATATCGGTACCAGGGTGCATTCTGCGAAAAATTGGTGTTTCGGAAATTAGTGGCATCCTCAGAAGGAATGTGAGCGAGTATCATTAATAGGTTTTGGTTTTGGAATTTATGGAATCCCTTTGTCTGTATGGAGCCAACCTAGTGGTAGACCTGAGAGACGGATCAGAGATGAGGGCTAGTAAGTCATGTGTGTACTTGATGCTTTGATACCAATGTTTTCACCAATAAACTGTATATTAATCGATTCGACCGTGTCAAGTTGAGCATTCGTCACGAAGTAAGGTACCTTAAGGTAGTCTCAAGATGAGACATCCAGTATACGAGGATAATATCCATGTAACATCCATCGGTAGGAGGGTGTGAGAGCTTTGCCCTCTAATAACTTTAGGTAGCTCCCGAATCCCCACTTTGTACTCCATACCTACAGTACCTACCTACCTACCTAGAAGGCTATCTGGGTTTTCTAATAGGCTCTAGACAGTTTTTTTAATATAATAGGCTATTAATCTAGTTAGAAAGCTATATATACCTTTAAAGGTATAGTTATAATACTAGCCTATTATAATATTTTAAATTTCTAACTAAAAGGCTAGCTATAATTAATAAGTTAATATTATAATAATAAATCTTAAGGTATTAATAGCTTATTAATTAAATTAATAGCCTATTAATTAGGTTAATAGGTTTTTAACCTATTTAATAAGCTATTATAATAAATAGCTATTTAATATAATAGCTATTAGTTAGTTACTTATAGAGGCATCTATTTAAGTATTTATTAAGGTATTAATAGACCTACCTTTTAATATTACTTAAAATAACTAATCTTTTTTATAATAATAATTAAATTACTTAATTAATAATTTAATAATTTAATAATATAATTAATTAATTAATTATATTTTTAGCCTTAAGGCTATAGGTTTAATTATAACCTTAACTTTTTTAAAAAAAAAAAAGGCTTTAAAAAGAGAGGTTTTATAATATCTCTTTTTAACCTTTTTAATACTTATTATAATAGCCTTTTAATACCTCTATAAGTTACTTTAGGCTATTTTAATTAATCTATAAGATTAAGCTATTAATAGTTATTAAATATAATAGTAATTTTATTATAATAGGCTTAAAACTAATTAATAGACTATTATTAAAGAAAGATATTAAATAAATATCTTTTTAGCCTTTTAAGCTTATTAAAATTAATAGCCTATTTAGAAAAATATACTAAAGGTATTATATTTTTTTATAGCTATTAATATATTAAAAGCCTATTATAGGCCCTATTAGAGGTCCTATCTAGAAACTGGGGTGGCACGCAAAGGTACCTAGGTATATATTACCCAGTGACTCGGAGAGCCTCACCGGGGCGTGGCTAGGTAGCGAGCCTGCTAGGGGCCCAGGGCCTAAACTCCAGGGAGTCTTGCCCAAATTTACTGCTGAAGGCTGAATGGGAGCTGGAGCTCTTTGTCTTTATTGCCCTTGTTGGCTGGCGTGCGTGTCCTTGCTCATGCAGCCCGTCCCAACCAAAGATTCCACGTCGACGTTCCATCCCTATCGCATTCGCAATTATCAGCAACCTTTCTCGCTTCAACTACAGATCAGATAGGCGATTTGGTCAGCGCCGTCTATAGATTCTTCTTTTCAAAGATACCCTTGTTTCACTTTTTCTATTCCGCTTGCGTGATAGCCAAGAGACTACCCTCGGTGCCATCATCACCCTTTGTTTGCTGCGACACTCGCAACGATGCTCGTCTCTCTCACTGTCGGCAAGGTCGATGCCGGTGTTACTGTTCTTCTGACACCGGACAAGCGCTTGGTGAGCTTGAAGCATCTTGTCTGTTTGTGATAATTGCTAATGCAGCGAGTGTCCTTAGATCGAATTCCCATCTATCCTCCTCCCTCCCAACATCTCGTCAGGCAGCATCGTCGACATCAACGTTTCGCAGAACGCGACCAAAGAAGCTGCTGCCGATCGCGCATTCCGGGCCCTACAAGACAGCATCTACAACTCGTTTGGTGCCTCCGAGCCTACAACCCCAGTACTACGATGCCGCAATGCCACCCAAACCTCGGTCGTTCTTGAGTGGGATCCTATTCAGCTTGCTACGGCCGACCTTATTTCTTTGAGTCTCTACCGAAATGGCCAAAAGGCTGGAAACATCCCTCGCCCATTGCAGATGCACAGCACAAAGATTAGCGGCCTTGCTGTCGATACAGAGTATACCTTCCACCTGGTCTTGCGCACAAGCGCCGGCACCTTCATCAGTGAGCGCGTCTCTGTGAGGACACACAAAATGACGGACCTAAGAGGTATCACCATTACTACCGGTATTCTGCCTAGTGCCGTCAAGGACAGCTTGACAAATGCGGTCGAGCGCATCGGGGCCAGGATTGTTGATGGCGTCCGCATTGACACGACGCATTTCGTCACCACTGAGGGACGTGGGCAGCAATGGGAGAAAGCTGTCGAGAGCAACATTCCCGTCGTACGTCCCGAATGGGTTGAGGCTTGCGAGAAGAGCGGCCGCATCCTAGGTGTTACCAAATTCTATCTTGATGCTATGAAACCAGGCCCCCCAGCTGAGGAAGCCTCACCTCCGCCACCTCCAGAGAAGGAGGAGAAGAGCCTGCCCGTGCCACCTGCTCATAACGGTGAGCAGGCATCTCCATCAGAGGAGAAGCTAGACGAGAAGGTCAAGGAGAAGGAGAAAGAGGACGCGCAAAGGAACGGTGGAAAGCAGAGCTCCAGCGGTAGTAGCACTGAAAGCGGAGAGGAAGAAGTCGGGATCGAGCAAAAGACGAAGACGTCACCACAAGAAGAACAAAAGGTACGATTCGAGGATAAAGAGGAGCAGAAGGTTGCCCTACGACCCGCCAATAATGGCGAATCAAGTAAAACCGAACATGATGATAAGCAAGAAGCGTCAGATGATGATGCAGAGGATGAGTCAAACTCGAAGACCGCACCTACACCAGATGGAGCATCCTTCCAAGAAGTGGAGCTATAGACCAAGAGGTACTGCAGCTATGTGGTAGGACTTGACTTTGTTTGAAAAGATAGCATGATTAGGCCGTGAGTGGACAGCAGTCGCTGTCTGGTACGGTCTCATATGGATATGTTGGCTGGCAAGATCTCGGTGAAAGGGCAGAGCAGATACTGGTTTAATAACTTATTTTTCACACAAACAACCCTAAGCAGCATTATCTTTGCAACCTTCTTAATGCTATGACCCTGTAGTTTCCACGTCTCACTTTATGGGAGGATCTCCTTGTTGTTCCAGTCCATACACTTGCCTCGCCCTTCCAAGGGGAGGCCTGTTGCGACTTTTACAAGTCTGTCGACAGCGAATTCAGGGCTGAATAGTTTGCCCTCCTTTGTACTCTCCCAGAAACCCTTGCTCAGGTCTGTCTTGACCGTGCCAGGGTGATAGGCAATGGAGATGGCCTTATCGCCACTCCGCCCACGCAGAAATATGTCGTAACTCTTGCCCAGGCTGATAACTCCCGCCTTACTCGCCCGATATGAGAACCATCCCCCAGCCCTATTATCTGATGTGGAGCCAACTCGAGCTGCCATACTGAGCCACACCGAATAAGGAGGCATCTTTACCTCATCACTGTTGGGGCTGTCTTCGAGCTCAGAACTCCGCCTAGGGAGAAACTTGTCGAAGTGTTTGATAAGGAGGAGAGGACCCATGGTGTTGATGCGGAACTGCTCCAAACTAGTCTCTGCGTCTATCTGGTTGACATTCTTCTCGGGTTTGAGGACTCCAGGAACCGCGCACGCAAGCCGCAGGTGATACTTGCCAGAGGGGAACAGCTCAGCAGCCCTGGAAGCTGCATTAATGAGAGATCCCTCGTCTGTGACATCCGCGTGAACTATTGACAGACGTTTGGTGAGACCTTGTTCCTCGGGGAGACCTTCGAGAAGTGATTTCTTTATGGTTTCTGGGTCGTGTTGGAGCCGAGCTGTTGCAAGGATGGGTAAGGATGTCTTCTGGAGGAGGTGTCGAGTGAGAGCATAGCCAATTCCTCGGGTCGAAGGGCATACAAAGATCCAGGGCTTGCTCATGGTTGAATCACCTGGGTGGGATGCTCTAGAGTTTATCTCATGTAAGTCAAGCTGATTGAACAAATTGGGTGTTGTGAAGAGGATGAATGTAAAGTACGACGAAGTTTGAACTTGGTGTCATAGTCCACACCTCTAACGACCGTATAAATGGTTGGTTGTTGTCACTTTTCTTTCGCCCTCCCCTTGAAAATCATGTAGCTCCATGGCATCTCATGTCTTTGATGATGCGTAGACGCACGTTCGTTTGAGGGATCGCCTACGTCATAAGATCTCGCTCCCCCTGAGCGGGCCCGATTCAAGTGCAGAAGCTCGTTACCCAACAGGGTATAAACAGAAGTGGTTGTGGGCTTGAAACTAGGTAGTTTCTGTACTTCTTGTCGTGTGAATTAAAGTGTAACAGCTAGCATGAGATAGATGCCATTTAACAGAATCTCAAGATTAGGATAGGACATTGTAGGTGTAAATATGATGCGTCTCTGTCTATTTTCCCCACCTAATGCAATGGGCTTAGTGATAACCTTGGATTGTCGCCATGTGAGCTACCTATTATTAATTCTATGAAACTAAACAAAAAAAACTTGCTATATTTGGATAGATACGATACATACTAGGAGATACTCTAAACTTATCGTGATAGGCGTTAGCTAGGAAAATGCACGTCGGGTGCGAGGCTATACTATAGTAACGTTGTTGAATGTATCCAAAATCCAATGCTGCGCTCATCCTGCACACAAACCAACCATCCATTCCTATACCGCAGATAAAACAAATCAACCCTCCCGTCTTTGTCTGCTGTACATGGATTGTATACATCGTCTAGCAGACCACTACTCGGAAAGAGAATGCAGCAATCCCTCGTCATCCATTCCGAGTGATCTTGCTTCAAAGCTTAGTCGAGATCGACCAGCCAGTTCTCTCATCAGAGGCTCAATTATATCAAAGCCGCTCATGTCATCGCTGACACTTCCAGCCTCAAGCTCCTCCTTAGTCCGTACAAGCTGCTCCAGAAACTCCCGCTCTGATGTCCCTGCCCTTGCCATCATACGTCCTCGGCTCGATGGTCTCACTTTAGACGTTGCTTGAAAGTTCGAACGGTCATCATCAGAGATCCACCCCTTCGCCCCGCCTGGGTGCCCGTCTCGAGAATTAGCGAGCGTGCGGTTGAGATTGTCTAATACTGGCACCAGGGCACGAAGCCAGACATCTCCATTGCGCTCCAATCTCCTGATTCTGCGTTCCATCTCTCTGATGCGATACTCACGGTAAGCCTCATACCTTCGCAAAACCTCCTTTTCCACGGTGGGCGCTTTGTCTCCGGTGTCTTCTCTCATAGTGACGGCCCTCCTTGCCCTTGGCCGGGGACTGGCGTTCGAGGCAGCTTCCTTTCGTTTACGTTCTTGTTCTCGAGCAGCACTCCACTCCCGACGTCGCAAAAGGGATGTTCTGTCATGTGAGTCCACTTTATGAGCTGGTGATGAGTGGGCAGATTGGGGAGGCGTCGGTGACCCGTTCTGATACGAGGCCGGAGATGGAGAAATTGCTCGACTGGGTGTGTCGTCTTCTTGCTTAGGTGCCGCATCGTCCGGCTTCGACTTCACAGCAGAGGTCAAGTCTTCTGGGTGTGCGCCCGTTTGTCTCCTCGGGGATGCTGGGATAACCCCTGATGGAGGAGGTGATGGCTTGACATTGGCGACAACCATGATGGGGCACATGCTTTGGCGTTGGGGAGACCTGAGTGGCAATGGTGGTGGCTCTTCTGCCGTTTCTTTAGGCGACTCTTTGATAGTCTCCTGCTCAGAATCGGGCTGCAGGTCCATCGAAATAGATATCATACTGCGCCGTTTCAAGGAAGCAGCTTCCATATCCTTCTTTTTCTTGTCCCTGACCTTGTCACGGCGACTCTGTGACAATTTGGCTTCAGGGGTTGAAGATCTCTCCTTTGTTCTCTGTTTCCTGGAGCCTTGACGTTGGACACGTAGTGGGCTTTTGGTGGTTACAGTAACAGAAGGCTCCTCGGTTTTCTTCGTGGATAATCGAATGCGCGATTCTCTGGCTGATACTGGTCTTGCCTCGACCGGCCGAGCCTCTGCCACAACAGGATCATTTTCGCTTGTGGTCATTATACTTTTGGAAAGCGAAGGTTGGTAAGATCCATCCTGGGAAACGGGGCGGGCAGGTGAAGTAGGAACCTGATGGGCTTCTGTCTTGGTTGACTGAGACATCATAGTATCGATCGACAGGTCGCCGAGGTATACGAAGCGACCCCCTGTCAAGCTGGGACTCCGCGAAGGGATTCTACCTTGATTGTTTGGGCTTTCTGCATGTGTGTTCCCCTGTCCGTTGCTTTGAATTCCTCGGCCCTGCTCATTAGCTTGTCGGACTTGGTCTGGGGTCACTACCCTCGGAGGAGGCGTTGCCAGAATGTTCAAATATTCCGGTGCCGTACTTTGGTGGCTGCTATTAATAGGGGCCGGAGTAGAGTGCCCATTGATCGATGAGTTTGGAGATCTTTGAGGGATAGTAGATAAAAGAAGCTGAGAGTTTGCCGGGCTCACCGAAGGCGATGATTCTCTGTCCTCTGTGACAGTCCGTAACACTGTCACCACGCCTTTCTCGTTCAAAACTGCTCTAGTAGGAGCATACTGAGAAGTGAGAGGCCTCACACTCCGGTGCTGGTATATAGGATACTGAGACCTGGGAGTTCGACCAAATGGCGAGGCATCCAAGGGTATGGAAATTGCAATATGTCGATGTCCTCCTATTGTTGTGCCTGAGACAGCTGAGTCTGGAAGCTGAATGGTTTGAGGCGACTTGGAGAGTGATTTACTCCTCTTGCCTAGCTTTCGGAGCCTGTACCATCTGCCCCTGTCCTCCAGGGGAATTCCATCGGGGATAGACATAAAGTTACCTGACGGAGGGCTGTGATTCCTCAAAAAGTCAATGAGCTCTGCAAGGCCATCATGCGGTTCCCCGTCCCCGTCCTGCTGCTGATCGATGAAGGTGTCGTCGTGAAAACCCAAGTCCTTGTCCTTTTCGGGGCCATCTAGCAAATTTGATGCAGATTTTGCTCTTGGCCGGGTACGTGCTTGAACTTGGGTTTGAGAGCCTGACCTTTGCAGATACGAATGCCGATTTGTTTTAGGGACAGTAGATGCAGATACAGAAGAAGTGAGAGCTGAGGGGATTGTTGTGCGAGGACAAGAAGCGCCACTGCCCGATGTGACAGAGACCTCAGGATCAAGGCCAAGAACTTGAGCCATGCCGGGCCAGCTTAACATCTGACACGGAACATGGGATGGAGTTATACGCTTTTGCGCAACGATGCACTTGCATCCATGAAAGACAGGCCTGAGCTAGGTAGATGTATCAGCTGAGTATTCACAGGAGCATGGTTTGTACACGAAGGGATCTCTTAAATTAGTATCACCTTTTGGTTGTCTTTCGGGGCTTTTCTCGTGTCCTCCCTTTTGGAGGCTTGGAAGGAGATTAGGAGGCGGGTGGTTGCAGACCGGTGGCCCGAGTGATAGTACCTTAGGTACCAAGGTATAGAGGTAGAGGCAGTGGTCTATGTCCCCATATATCTTACGCTGGTAATTGAGTTGACAGCCACAAAACAAGGCCAAGATTGTGACAAAGATGGAAAATTGAGAAGTGATGGTGTTGAAAAGAAGAAGAAGAAATTACATATCCTGGGGGTCGGTCCCCCAGTTCAGCCCAGTTCAACCTGGTCAATCCCAGTTCCAAGGGACCCTTCCCAACCGCGTCAGAACAGACAGACAACAAGAGCAGGAGCATGAGCAGGAGCAGCAGAGAGGTCCTGCAGCCCATGTATGCCGTCACTCCCCCCATAAAACCCTGGAGCGCCACCAAGACCAAGTGCCGCTATTTGGTCTTAGCTCAGGATCCGAAAGCTAATTATGCCCGTTGGATTTAATGGAGTGGAAACGTCCTCGCCAATTCCCCAATCAGAGCCTCTGAAGCACAGATTCACCAAAAGGGAGATCGTGCTCCTTTGTTCTAGCTCAGCTCGTCTCCATTATCTGCTGGGTCTCTTTCTGAGGTTGTAATTACGCCTCTTTCGCGATGCGGCACGACAACCCGGTCGTTCGGGATGCCAACCAAGATCGGCGTAGAAATAGTTTCATTTGTCAAGCTATCCCTAGTCATATTTGCACTGGAGATCTCATTTTCCTGACCCTTGGCCTTGGTTAGCTTCGTTTTGGTCACTTTTCCTCTTTGCTTTTTTTCTGTTGTCGCTTTATGCATGTCTCTTTTCCGGCCACCACAAGTGATGTACAGACATGTATTTGGTGGGCAGGTCTTTAAACCCCAGCCGCTCGCAAACCTTTCCCTTGAAAAAGAAACAATCCATAGCAATCGCATGCCGAAACTCATCGGTCAGTGGTTGCAGCTGGCTGCTCGTCGTCACCACGGTGAGCTGTGTTACCTTCTCAGGTATCTCGGGTCGTTCACAAGAGGCAGAGGTATCCAACATGAACCAAGCATCAGCTGAAATCCCAAGCCATGTTCGCATTGTTTTGTCCTAAACTTGGCGATTTGCTGAACCACTTACGTAGGTATGCACCAATCTACAAACTGTGCTTACAGTAGGTAGCCAGGAGATGGCAGAACTCAAGACTTCATCCTCAATCTGACCTTGTATGCCAAGAATACTTGAATATGTTTAGGATGAACTTGCTTGGCTTTCTGAATAGTCTATTCTTGCTCCGTACAGGAGTCTTGAGCCTTCTGAAATCCAATATTGAGGGAGTAGCTCCCTGTTCCAACAATTCACAAACATTTCACTCAACCCCGATAGGATGGTGGCCATCTCTTTTCAGCTCACAGGGTTCTACCTTCAGGGCGTCGTTACAAACTTATCCAATCACCAATACCGCGTCGTCGTTGCTCAACCGCCAAAAGCCCTTCCGAGCGCCACTGCTGATCTCCTCTACAGGAGGCCGCTAGTGTCATCACTGTGCCAAGTTACCAGCTGTTAC